AAAGTGACAAGAGTTCTTTCGTTTTCTCGCAAACGGCGACTAAAAAATTCAGCAGAGTCGTACGACGCAGTGTTCCTTTGCCCTTCTGCACTTTCCAGTAGCCTACCCAAAGACGTAAAAAATCCTTCGATGTTGGGCAACCAAATACGTGTACCCTGCATAATGCTTTTCAAACGTGTGTGGTTCACCTAATCATCTGTCTTTATTTCCGCCATATTGGAAGTGTTAGTTCCCGGGGCCTCTTCTTTTATGTGACTTCCGGTCATTTCTATTTCCGGTTCCTCATCTTTTAGTTTTATGGAACATCTTTTAGTTACGTAATGTCACCCACGTATGAGCTTCGTCTAACGGACGTCCGGTCATTTCTATTTCAGCTTCCTCATCTTTTAGTTTTATTGAACATCTTTTAGTTGTATACGGTCACGCTCGAATGATTCGGAAAAGCGATTTATGCTAAACAACATCGATGCATAGCATTCGAATTTGATGTACCCCGGTCGAAATTGATTTATGTCATTTTCCAATTTGTTTTATTACGCATAACAATAATGAATTTAACAAAACATTGATGTATTCACGTTCGAAATTTTGTCCGCAAAAAAGCCCCATAGAGCGATGTTTGTCTACTCCAACTAAACCTCCCGCAAAAATAGCAACATTTGCCTCTCGGACACAGCGTACCAGCACAAAGGAACAAGGAAGAAGTGCAAGAAAACAAATCAAGCCGCTAAATTCAGTGACAGCGGCAGTGTCTTATGTACAAACCACATCGCAAGCCCTGACCGAAGCCGAAAACAAGCGACATTTCTAAGCAGAGTCCCAGTCCACTGCATCAAACCTTTTTGCTCGGACGCGCTCGTTTCACCGCCCAACCTTTATCCGCCCTGCTGTGATGTGTTCTCAGGAAGTTCTCAGGAGAGTCGCTATATGCTTCGCTATATGCTTCGAATATTCAGCAAGGCCGGCTTATCTAGAGATCAGTATTCAAAAGTTTATAAAACCTGTGGTATAAAAATTTTTTGAGGACGATACGAGGTCATCAGTGTTATGTAGGAGTGGCGTTACATTCGTAGACAAAATGGATCAGTTTATTCGCAGAGCTCAATTTGTAAACAATACGCCGTCTGATCTAAATTCAGAATATTCTGTAAAGCGATGCTTTCAACTTTCACCGTCTTCGCGTCAGCCGTGGAAGCGTCTATCAAGGATATTCCACCCGAAAACGTCGATGTGGATGAGCCATAAATAAAAGGGGGCGGAAGGCCTACACGACTTTTAACTTACGCCAAAATGCTGCTTGTGCCAATATTTTGTTTTTCATCTGCTGGGTAGAATATTCTCTGGAAGGTTCTACATTTTCACTGAGCAAGTGTGATTTTCTTTCTTGCGCCCACTATAGGTGGTTTTCACGTTACGTCATCGCCGCCATGCTGGTGGACGGTAAACAAAAGATCGCTCATTAGCTCGCTTGGTTTGTCCAGCAGCATTTGTTCATGTCACCATTGTTATTTGTGTCTCCCGAGATTGCATGAAAACCACCTATTTCCAAGCGCCCGCTACGCAGGCTAGCCCCACCTCCAAAGCTAGGGAAAAGCGCCCTGGAGACGAGGTTGCTTTCTCGGCCTACTCGAGAAAGACTCCGCTCTGAGTAAATCGCTTCAAGCGCAGGTTGAACTACTGGGCTGAACTACTTTTCTCGTCAAACCGTATTTTCGAGTGCGAGCATCCGTATCAAGCGTACAGCTATTAGGCCTGGGTTCGAAACTTTAGCCTACCAACACGCGCGCATGCTCATTAGAGCACT